ACGAGAGATCAGTGCTTCGTTGTGTACGAGAAGCCAAGAGAGCTGAATTAAAATTTGCTTTCTTGGAAGCTTGTCTTTCCTTTTGTTTTGTAACTTTCTGTTGTTTATATGGTGAACAATCATTGCTTAATGTAAAATACACATGGAGCTGGTGATTTTTACAGTTGTTAACTTTTGCTATTGCTGAATAAAAATGTCTCCTTGTCCACATGAAATGTAGACTTAGTATCTTCAATCAATCCTATTTCAAGTTTCTACGCTTTACAGGCCCTACTGGCCATTAGGGGAAAAGTGCAGTCAGTGATTCAGTGAATTAGTATCAGGTGGCTCTAAGGTTAGAAAACTCTTAAGGCTTCAATCATCATACATCATCCAAGTGTTGTACAGTGAAGCCTGGTGTGAAAGGCAGCAGGTTGAGTGGCATCCTGAGACATCTCCTTCCATCAAACATTTCATAGTTTGTGTAGTCTGCTAAATTGCCCTGAAATTCTTGACCATTCTGTGTTTAACCTGAGAGAGGCTGTGTTAGTGCAGCTTCTCTTGTCAGACCACAATAACGAAAGGGAGAGTGGACATGTGAATTGCCCATTGTACTCTTCTCAGCCTTGAATGATGGTACGCTGTGTTGAGAAGTTAATGGATTGAATGTACTTTTCTCTCCAGAAATGAGAGTTATCGCTGATTCCATGCTCTCATTCACAACGTAGATGTCAGTATGAAAAACTTGTGTCCTAGCACCCAGGCCCTAGCATAAACCTTGCAGTTCGCATTTAACTTTAGTGTTGTCCATATTACATACAACACCTTGACTACAGTCATCAACATCACAGTTCAAAGATCTTAGACGTCTGGTGCTATCTGCAGTCAAGGAGTCAGTGGCTTGTGAAAGATAAGCATTGCTTGGCCACTACAACTTCTTTCAGCCTTGCGATATCTGAAAGGCAGCTCATCTTCCACATGGGTGTAACTTAACCAGGTCTAATGGAAATAAACAAGTATGGAGCTGGAGGAACACAGCAGGCCAGGCAGCATCAGAGGGGCAGGAAAGTTGACTTATCAGGTTGGGACCCTTCTTCAGAAATGGGGAGGGGGAAGGGAGCTGGGAAATAGAGAGAGGAGGGGTAGGGCTGGGGAAGGTAGGTGGGATGCTGATAGGTGAGTGCAGGTAGGGAGTGGTGGGGAATGGTCAGTGGGATGGGTGGGGCAGACAGGTGGGAGAGAAGATGGACAGGTTGTGTCAGGTCAAGGAGGCAGGGATGAGAGGGATAGGATGAGGCCAGGAGTGGGGAGATATTAAAACTGGCCTAAACATGGAATTCAGCATCGGTCTGTGGGCTCCTGAGGTGGAATAGGAGGTGCTGTTCCTCCAGTTTGCGTGTGGTGTCATCGTGACACTGGAGGAGACCCAGGATGGTCGTGTCACCCAGGGGATGGGACTGGGTGTTAAAATCTGACACAACCTGTCCTTCTGCTCTCCCACCTATCTGCTCTACCCATCCCACTGACCACTCCCCAACACTCCCTACCTGCACTTATCTATCACCATCCCACCTACCTTCCCCAGCCTCACCCTTCCTCTCTCTCTATTTCCCAGCTCCCTTCGCCATCCCTGTTTCTGAAGAAGGGTCTCGACCTGAAACGTCAACTTTCCTGCTCCTCTGATGCTGCCTGGCCTGCTGTGTTCCTCCAGCTCCATACTGTATTGTCTCTGACTCCAGCATCTGTAGTTCTTGCTATCTCCCAATGGTAATAAAGATGCTGGAGCAGACATTTTAAGTATGCAAGTCAATATATACTTTCACAAAAGTGTAAGATAATTTATGGTGAAATTTCACCCATGCCACCCATGTGCCCTCATTGAGTTTGCTAATAACTTTGCTTCCCTCCCACTGCTTCTGATACACTCCCGACTGCTACGCTGGGCTGGAGGAATCCTGCTCTGTAGTAGGGCCTGATGTCCTGAAATAATGAGACAGTCATACCTGGGAGCATTTGGACCTAGAGAGGTGGTGAAAATGAGAAAGCAGCCCCTGAAAACACAAAATTAGCCCTGAAAAACAATAAAAACAGCCCCCAAGAAAATCTCAGAGAGTCAGTTCTGAGGAAGGGTCACTCACCCCGAAACATTAACTCTGATTTCTCTTCACAGATGCTGCCAGACTGCTGAGCTTTTCCAGCAATTTCTGTTTTTGTTTCCGGTTTACAGCATCCACAGTTCTTTTGATTTTTATACTGCGGGGTGAGCTTGATGATGCCAGTAGATCATTTGGGTAGCCAAAAACTATTTTAGAAGCATTTGTGGAATTGAGATATCAATTCATGCCAGATTGACTTAAATAACTGAGAACACTCTAGACTTGAACATCTGCATCTTCAGATTCACGTAGAAAAGCACCATCGCTGGGAGGTTCTTGCAGCAGTGACCCTTGCAAGAGCAAATGAAGACCCTTGATACCCCACTGCTGGCCCTTGCTCAGATCAATTTAAGTGAAGAGACCAATTGTAATGAATCCATGTTTGCTAACAACAGACTCGGATTGGGAAGTATAGTGAGGACACAAAGAGGCTGTAAAGGCGTGTAAATAGGTTTTAGTGGGCAAGCACTTGGCAATTAGAATATGATGTGAAGGAGTGTGAAATTACAACTATGGAAAGAAAAATGATGAAACAGATTTATTTTAAAATTACAAGTAATTAGGAAATGTTGGAATTCAGAGTGAATGTGGTGTCTTTATGCATGAATCACAAAAGGTTAATATGCAGGTACAGCAAGTAATTAGGAAAACAAATGGTATGATGGGAGCAGGAGAGCCGACGTTGTGGGTCCGGACCCTTCCTCAGTCCTGATGAAGGGTCCCGACCTGAAACGTTGACTCTCCTGCTCTTCTGATGCTGCCTGACCTCCTGTGTTCCTCCAGCTCCACACTGTGTTAACTCTGACTCCAGCATCTGCGGTTCTTGCTATCACCAAATGGTATGATGGTCTTTATTTCAAAGAGGTCAGAGCATAAAAGTGAAGAAATCGTACTAAATGCTTGAAACCTTGGTGAGACCACACCTGGAGTACTGTGTGCAGTTTGAGTATGCTAACTAAGGGAAGGAAATAATGGCCTTTGAAGGAGTGTAAGAAAGTTGACTAGACTGATTTCTAGAATAAGGAGATTATCCTAAAAGGAGCAATTGTGTAGATTGAGCCAAAATTCCTTGTAATTTAAAAGAATGAGGGTTGATTCCACTGAACCATATAAAATTCATAAAGGACTTGATTGGTTGATGCAGGAACAGTCTGTCCCTTGCTGGACAGACTAGAGTTACAGATCACTATCTTAAAACAGGGGATCAGTCATTTAGAATTAAGATGAAATATTTCTTATCATGAATCTCTAGAATTCTCTACCTCAAATTGTTTTGGGTTCTCAGACATTGAATATATTCAAGACAGAGACTGATAGAATTTTGAATGCTGGGGAAATTAAGGGAATGGTAAAATTTGAAGCAGAAGATCAGCCATGATTGTATTGAACATTGGAGCCAGCTCAAAGGACAAGGGCCTACTTTGCTTCTTTTTATTTGTCCTTTTATCCAATTCGCACTGCTTGTCTAAAGCCCCAAGCCTACTTTCTGTCAGAGTATAATTACTGTTGTTATTATTTCCTACCATATTTTTAATAACCATGTTGATGTCTCAGTGGGCTAGAACATTTGGGATGAGTCGTACAGAGAATCAGGAAAAATAGTGAATTATCATTGTTGTTTTACAGTACTAAAATCGTAATCAGCAGAGAAGTTGTACTGAAAGATTGTTGGAGCAGCAGGCTTACAAGTGCCCTAGAGTCTAAAAGAAGTGGCTAGTGAGATAGTTGATGCACTGGATTTTAATTGTCATTTTTAAAAAATTCTTTAATTTGGGAACGGTCCCATCAGATTAGAATACTACAAATATAACTCTTATTCAAAAAGGAAGAGGGATGGAAAGCAGGAAATGACAGGCCACTTACCTTAACATCTGTCATCATGAAACTGTTAGAAGCTATTATGAAAGAAGTTATGGCAGGGAACCCAGATAATTTGAAGGTAATCATACTGTACTAGCTTTTCAGAGGCGTTTGATAAGGTGCCACATTTAAGGTTATTGCAAAAAACAAAAGCTTATGGTTTAGGGGGTTGGTGTATATTGGCATGAATAAAAGATTGGCTTGCTTAGAAGAAGCAGGAAGTATATGTAAATGGGTCTTTTTTAGGTTGACAAAATGTAATGAATGGTGCGCCACAGGAATCGATGCTGGGGCCTCAACAATTTATAATTTATATAAATGACTTCAATGAAAGGGTGGCAGGTATGTTTGCTAAATATTCTAACGGCACAAAGGTAGATAAGAGAGTAAATTACAAAGGGGGCACAAGATGGGTCAAGTGAATTGACAAATATGTGGCAAAGGGATCATAGTGTTGGAAAATGTGAAGTTGCCCATTTTGGCAGGAAGAATAAAAATCAAGTATATTATCTAAATAGTGAGAGATTGCAGAGAGGTCTGGGTGTTATGAGTCTGAAATTTTCTCCCTGAACAGTGGTTGAAGCATTTGAATATTTTTAAAGCAGAGATAGATTCAGTCTTATTAATCAAGGGATTGAAGAGAGACCTGAACGTGGCCCTTGCAGCTACAGGAATCAAGGGGTATGGGGAGAAAGTGGGAGTGGGATGCTGAAATTGCATGATCGACCATGATCATATTGAATGGTGGTGCAGGCTCAAAAGGGCTAAAAGGCCTACTCCCGCATCTATTTTTTTTTCTCTATGATATCAGGATGGACAGAAACATGGATTTAAGGTTACATTCAGAACTGTCATGACCTTACTGAATGATGAAGCAGACTGAAGGTGCTGCATAGCTTTCCCCTCCTGATTCACTTATTCGCATTATATTTATAAATATTGTTGATTATTAAGGAAATACCAATATATTGCATTGATATTCCATTTTATATAATTTCATCTCAGGTTCCGCTTTGATATCACCCCGTATGAGGATCTCTGGCCAACAATTTTTGTTTATATGATTTACAGCAGCTGTGGAAAAAACAGGTACAGAAAGTAAAAAGATCACTTTTTTAATTAGGACAGAGTATCTTGACAAGTCACAATGGAGATGAAATCTGTATTCCATTTTGGTGGTAATAATTTTGTCTTAAAATTGTATAATTTTTGGTGGAAGCTCTGGGTAGGTGTCTTCAGTTTAATTCACCGGTATGGCAGTTGCTAAAGTTGTGTTGTACTTGTCTCATTATGTTATATTATTAAGCCCCAGTTATCCACTTCCATGCCACCACAGTGGGTAGCATCCTTAGGTGTCTATGAAGTTTCTCGTCGGTGAGCTATCAGAATTTCCCCTGTGAAAGTTGCCTTAGGTTTCATAGAAAATTAATTCTTCAATATAACCCATTAGAGGTGACATATAATTTAGAATCCTGACAAATTACAAAAGGATAATGTTAACTCTTTGGTATTTTGGATCATTGACAATTCTGATCTTTATTTAGTTGCTGTCTTTCTGCTTCTGCCTTCTTATCTGTCTAGCTTTGATATGGAGAAACTGTGTCGCTTCACTATGTCAGTAAAGAAAAACTACCGCCGTGTGCCCTACCACAACTGGAAGCATGCAATCAATGTGGCACATTGCATGTATAATATCCTGCAAAAGGTTCACGGGACATTCTCACAACTAGAGGTAGGTGAATGAAATGTTTGTGCAATTGCCCTGGGCATGCAGCCATCAAGGGCATTTATTCACATGTATGAATTTTAAAGGCAAATTACAGTCCCAGCAAAATAACACCCTGTGCTTAAAAAAAATCTCCATGAAGTAGAATATTTTGGATGAGTAGGAAATATCTACGTGAATTATGAATCCATTACTCTTCTATTAATATCCCAATTGTATGTGTGAAGACAGTTCATGGTACATTATTGTTTGGAAATGTGGGTTTTAAAGTGGAAGAACTGTGTATAATTTTAAGTTTGATTTATACTTTATTGTGTGTTGAGAAAGGAAAACATGGTTTAGTTTCAGTTTATAATTGTTTTGTCAGTGGTGAAGAGATACCTCAAGATAATTGATCCATGCAATTATACTAAGGGTTTACATTAGAGTAGAGCTTAAGGTTAACAGTTTGGTGCATGAGAAAAAAAAGGAGAGAAAAGAAATAAAACCTGTTGCCTAGCGTTGGGAGTCTTGTATGAGAGAAGGATAGAACCATCCAGAATGTCATGCAATAAGTGCAGTTTCAGTCAGAGTGAAAGAAAAGGTGCCAAAAACAGCCAAAGTTGGAGGAAAAACTGAAAAGTTTGAGGAAATGTAGCTAAGAAATGCAGTGAGCCTGTGGATGCTAGACAATGGAGGATGACGTGCTAAGCTAGTGAGAAGACTGGCCAGAAAATTGCTGGAAGCTGAGTTGGGTCAGAACTTGGGTCACCGGACCCAAAATGTGAACTCTGTTTTTTCCTTCACAGATGCTGCCAGACCTGCTGGGCTTTTCCAGCAAATTTATTTTTGTTTCTGATTTACAGCATTCACAGTTCTTTCGGTTTTTAATGGAATTTGTAAGATTAGGTAATCAAGGAGTTTCATGTAAACTATCTCAGGATAAAGTTTGCAAACCGTTCCTTAGATTAAGTAAATTGAATTTGGTCAATTATGTTGTTTTCCATTCCTCTTAACCAGGTTTTATTTCAATTTCTGTCAGTAGTGTGTGTTGTTTCCAGTTTTACAATAGCATTGATTTGAAAATCCTCCTTTTGTCTTTGAATGTGAAGTAACTTCTGTCTCTGCGTGAAATTTTGTTTGCCACAAAATGTTATTAGGATGAATTAAAAGTCAAAATTTCAAACAAGTAGCTTAAGGTCACTGATGTCACTTGGCTGAATATGTTAGGTTCCATTTTCATTACACTCTTAGAGGCAAATTGAGTGTCTCTGATATCTTATGAAAGCTGTAAGATAAGTGGTCTTGAGGGGAGTGCTGAGAGGGGATGCTCAAGTTTGCACATTTATGTTTCATCTCTTAACACAAATATGATAGTCAATGTCTAACACATTTGAGGTAATTTTTTACAAGTAAGGAGGATGGAGACTATGTTTATAGAAGATGTGAGAGGCTTTGAAAACAATGCAGGCATGATTACAGCATATGGCAATGTTGCAGGAAGGGGATTTGACAGCATGGGCAGCAGCAGTTTGGAATTTGGCTTTCTGGGCGATTCTTTTGGGAGACCTTTTGGCAGGTCAAGTCAATCAGGAATAGGTGCAGGGAATGCTGGAAAACTTCAGCAGGTCTGGCAGTATCTATACAGAGAGAAACAGAGTTCACGGTCTCAGTCCGTTTTGACTCTTTTTCAGAACTGCCAGACTTGCTGACCTTCTCCAGCATGCTCTGTGTTAATTTCAGATTTTCAACATCTGCAGTGGTTTTCTTTTATTCAAGGAAACTAACAGGAACGAGTTCAACAGTGATTTTAATGCCTCTACTGAGTTTTAGTTGCCATTTAAACTTATAGAGAATAATATCAGAATGTAAAATCACTGTTCTGTTCCATCCCATCACATCTGTTTCCTGACAGGCAAGTTAGGTTAAAAATAGAAGTTGCTAGAAAAGCTCAGCAGGTTTGGCAACATCTGTGGAAAAAAAATCAGAGTTAATGTTTCGGATCCAGTGACCCCTCAGAACTGATTCTGAGGAAGAGTCACCAGACCTGAAACATTAACTCTGATTTTTCTTCGCAGATGCTACCAGAACTGCTGAGCTTTTCCAACAACTTCTGTTTTTGTTCCTGATTTACAGCATCCACAGTTCTTTCAATTTTTTTTTTTGAAAAGTTAAGTTAAAACTTGTTCTTCCCCCTTATGTCTGGCAGCAGTCAGGAGAGATTGTGGCTGAATGTTATGTTATGGAGACCTCCCAGATTCTGCATTACTGGAGGCTATAGTTCATATGTTACAGGGTCACAATACTAATGAGCAAGATTCTAAGTCAACATTAAAAACTATAGATGGAAAATGCTGGAAATGCTCAGCAGGTCTGATGGTAAGTGTGGAGAGAGAAACTGGTTCTGATGAAAAATATTTGCCCCTCAACTGTTAATCTCTTTCTGCACAGTTGCTGTCTGATCTGATGAATATTTCCAGTGTTTTCTGTTTTTATTTCAGATTTCCTGCATCCACATCCATTTTGCAAAGCTAGTCAAAAAATTTCCAGATTAGCCAACAACAAAAATGCCCTAGATTCTCTCCTAAATCTCACACAGTCCAGCGTTTCTTGTCAAGTTGTTCCAAATTCCAGGTTCATCCCATTAGTACCCCTCAGATCCATAAATACCAATACCGTACACCAACTTATTGGCCCAAATCTTCCACTCTGGATCAGAATCCTATTTCCAATCACTTACTTTTCCAAGAATTTTCTGGCTTTACTTCCAATGCAGGATCCATGACAACAGAAACAGTCCAGTAAACAAAGCAGCTGCATTGAGTAGATCATCGCCCCTCTTTCTCACAACAACTGTCATATTCTGGGAAGTAAAGTTTAATGGTTCCTAATTGTCTGGAGAAATTAAATGCATTAAGTAAATAAGTGAGGGAGATGGATAAATAAGAAAGTAGAGTCAGAGGTGCATGAGGGAGTGAGAGACTAAGTATGTGAGACAGTAGGATGCCAGGGGTTCTGCTGATAGAGATGGATGGCAGGTGGGTAGATAAGAGAGTAGTGTATCAGGTGGGTGAGGGATATAGTGGCAGGTGTGTGGGAGGGGATACAAGTGGCAGATGGCTGGTTCGAGGTTGAGGTGACAGACAGGTGGTTGTAGGAAGGTGTTCAGGGTTAGGGTGATAGGTGATGGGTCGGGTGGTGGCTGGGGAGGTGGATGTCCATTTCAGGAGGTGAGGGGTTCAGATGTTGAGATTGACTGTGTGGATGTCTGCAGATGCAGAGAGTAGGGTCATTCGATATCCATGGGCAGCAGTTGGAATTGAGGTATGTGGGGGCACTATGCGTGTTTGGAAGGTCAGCTTTGTACTTAACCAGTAATTTAAGCAGTTCCTAATTGCACTTGTCATTTCCTGGCTGTCTATTAATGTGAGTAAGCCATGGTTGTATGATCTCCTTATTCTGTTCCTTAGAGGTAGTAAATGGGAGTTATTAAATATTTTTAAATCAGGTGGACATGTTCTTGTTAGACATGGGAATCAAGGTTTATCATGATGTGAGCGTGGATTTTGAAACTGAAACAGATCAGCCATGATCTTATTGAATGACCGAGCAGATATCTGGGGCCAAATGGTCGTCTTTTGCTGATTTTTCAGATGTTCATGCAAGTCAGCACTCACTGAACCTTCTGAATCAGTCAGAGTTGGAGAGTTTTTTGAACGGTTCCAGATGTTAGTTAATTGCTTTTTGAAAGTAGCCATGTGGTGAGTGCATGCATCTTTCAGATTAAGTCTTAGTCTCTAACCATCCAAAGATCAGAAAATCTGGACCATTAGGACTAATCCCTGAAGATGAACAGTTCAAACAGTACTAATTCTCAGAATCACATCATGTGTGCTACAAATAAGCAGGACCGCCACCACAGTACTTTTGCAAACTGGCGACTTCTCTCCTTCCACCCAAACTCAAGTTACAAGACCTACAAAAATGTTCTGCCAATTTATAGCAACTTCATGGTGCTGTTGAACACCTTAAGACCAGTCCTTCATTACTACTCAACCACTCAATCCCTCTCTTAGGTTTACAAAACATAGGATATCAACTCACAACTTGGTGTTTCATGCCCATTATTTTGATGTTTACCTCAACCTGCTACTGTCACTTCTGACTTGTAAAGACCATTTCACTTTATTTTTCTGTATTTTTGATTGTGGATTGAATTGAAAAAATGGACTGTTTTACAACAAAGATTTGTGGAAAGAATTGCTGCACTTTTAAAAATAAAGTTACTGAAACTCATTGTAAGTTATGTTTATACTGCTGCTTTGTTCATGCAGTCTAGGGAAATTGGTTAGAGATGGTCTGGCAACAGGGAAGTGTGATTCTGCCAGCCACATGTTGCTGATTGGTTTATGAAGATGATAATCAAGCCTAACAACAACTATCTGGCTCCTGACTGGCTGAGCAGCTTTTGGATAAGCATGGTAATGGCAGAAGCCTACAGACTGCTGGAAGGGGTGGATGTATGTCTTCAGTAAAGTACTTAAAGGCTAAAGAGAGACAGTTTATTTTCCCTCACCAGTTGCTGTAGGCTGTGGCCTTTAACCAGTAACTAAGAGACTTCGCAGTTCATGTACCAATCGCCTGTCTCCCACAAAAAAGTGAAAAGAACCAGCAGAAAGGTTAAAGAACAAAATCCAAGCAAGCAAGGGGATCACCTCAAAAAACCCTGTGGATTGTGGCCATTGAACTGCTTTCCCAGCTTTTTTTTTCCCTCCAATCATAATGTCAATGTTTTTTTGTCTGTCTGTAAGTGTGTGCAGAGGGCTTTAGAAGGGGGTTAATTTTTAACTAGTACAGCTGTATGTCAGCAGTTCATAGTTGTTTATATGTGGCTACAGTCTATTTATTTCTAATAAATAATGCTTCCTGTTGAGTACGGAAACTTGGTCCCTGTTTCCTTTTGGCATGGATCTGTCCATGGTTTAGGTAAATTAGACACTTCACGTACTTTAAGATTTTTAAATTCG